GGTGATGTGAGAGCCTGGTCCGGTGAGAACCCGGCGTGCTCCGTCCCGGCTTTGTAGGGATGCGAGGTCAATGGTCTAACGACTACGACATGCACGACTATGAGTACACCCCCCCCCCTGGATCGATTTTCAAAGCTTGATTACGCCACGACCAAGAGGATGCATAAACGGAAAGCTGTATATTTACGGAAAGCTCTAGACGACACGGGTTTGACGCCGCCGTTTTCGGCGCTATGACTCTTTCTGCTGTTGACAAATCGAGCTTAGAACATCGGTCCAGGGGGTGTTGCCATCTTGTGTCGTACACGGTACATCCGCTGCCCAACGCTCCTCCCGGGCAGATCGCCAACGTTCCGCGGCCCTGTTACTCCGGCTCGATTGGCGATAGGAGGTTCATTTGCTGACATCACCTCGGGATGGAAGGCAACGCCGGCGCCGGGGACCCCACCACCTCCCAAGGCAAGGCCTAAGGGTATGGGCTCGCGGTTCACGGAGCGGACCACGGCGGAGGTCCCTACGGCAACGCCGGCGAGCGCCGCCTGCCAGCAGCAGAAGGTAGACTAACGGACCGCGCTACCGCCCTTCTGCTGCAGGCCCTGATGCCCATCAACCGCGAGTCTGCAACGAAGCCTTCGACACCTCTACCCAGCAGGCGACCTTCCCGCAGCAGCAGTAGCAGAGTCAGCAGCGCTACGGCGCACCTCAGGCGACCTCTTTCTCCTCCTCCCCCTCTCCATCTCAAGGCGACGCTCTTTCCCCCAGCTGGCAAAGCCCCTCTTAGTCTCTTTTTGGCGCGAAGTGTGTGCTCTAGCCATTTTTTTTTATTCTCTGATTGACGATGGGATTGATTGTAATAATGATAGGAGGAGTTCGGTTTTCCGGAATGTAGGTTGCCTGTCTGTGCCTGGTGTACCTCGTGTGCCTGGAATGCTCGTAGCGCGTGCCACTATTATAGGCTTTCCGTAATCAATCGACCTTTCTTGTGCCAACTCCACATGCCGAGGCCTAGACGTAGCGAGCAATGGTAAGCTGACTCCGGAGCGAGTGCCATGATCTCTAAGAGAGTGGACCACATGTACAACGTACGCCACAAAGTCCCTGATGGACAATCCATCCAGATCAGAGGCTCCGAATTGATTAGGGTTGCCGCTGTAGGGAGCCTAGACCTCAGGTTCGACCAAATCGGAGCCGACGGGAGGCAGGAAGCATTGACATCAGCGTGCCAGAACTTCTGTTTGTGCCTGAGTGTGGCCTCAACCGTTTTCGGCGTGGAAAGTATCACACACGCATGAGTTTCGCATCAACCCCTGAGGCACTCAGCTATTGCGCGGCAGACACCGACGTTTCATCGTGCCTCAAAAGACCGCGCCATGCAAAATTTGTAAGTCCAAATCGAGGAATGAGAACTTGGACACACCCGGCGGTTTCCGTCACGCCGAGAAAGAAAGTGTGCAGGCCGTGTTTAAGGACGAACTCTGTTCACAGAGCGCGTCAGGGCGCAGATGAAGATGAAATCCGGGTCTCTCTCACTGGCCCCTGCAGCTCATATATAGCGCTATGACCCCGCCTCCTCCCGAAGGTCTTCTACATCTGGCAGTTCCGGCAACAAAGGGCGTCACAAAACTGAAAGCTCGCCCTACAAAACTCTGTTTTACATTAAAGTTACAGAGTTGTGCAGGGTGAGCTTTCAATACAGTGACGTCCTTTCTTGCCGGGACGGCCGGATGTATAAAATCCTCCGGAGGCGGAAGGATTGTGGCGCTTCATAGGAGCTCCAGGGGTCGATGAAAAAGACGCGGATTTCATCTTCATCCGTGCCCTGACGGACTCCATGAAAAGAGTTCGTCGTTTTCACAAAGCACGGTCTACGTACGCACTATCTTGCCGGGCGAGAACCGGCGGGTGTGTCCAAGTGCTCGTTCCTCGATTCGGACTTGCAAATTTCGCACATCATGGTCTTTTGAGGCATAATGAAACGGTGTAATAGCTCCGCAATGATCTGGTTCTACGTTATTATTTTTTAATCTTGAGTTTAATGCTTTACATTTGATAGGTATTCTTATATTTGTAGGGGCTATAGAAAAAATCTGCGCAGCAGCTGAGTGCCGCGGGGTTTGACGCGGACCTCATGCCTGTGTGATACTTTCCACACCGAGAAAAGGCAAGAACACACTCGTACACAAAACAGAACTTCTGACACGGAAATATCAATGTCTTCCTGCCTCCCATCGACTCCGATTTGGCGGAATGGAGTTCGGATTTCCGGAAAGCTGCGTACGTTGTACGTTTGGTCCATTCTCTTAGAGGTCATGGCACTTGCTCCGGAGTCACCTTTGCCATTGCTCGCTACCTCTAGGCCTGGGCATGTGGGGTTAGGGTTAAGAGAGCTTGCTTGATCACGGGGCGCCTAGTGACACGCGCCGCGAGACAGCTAGGCGAGCCGGGAGATCTTAGTCCATGAAGCATGCGCAGGGGGCGACGGCGATGGTCTGGCGGAGGTAGCCGCAGGCGGTGGAGCGGTGGAGGTCGCCGACGCACGCGGCCTCGGGGGCGGCGAAGCGGTGGCACCAGGAGAAGGCGCAGATTATGGCGCATGCCCCGGGGACGGCGGAGGCAGCCGCAGGCGGTGGAGCGGAGGCGGTCGCCGACGCAGCCGCTCTCGAGGGCTGAGGATGATATTCTATTATTTTATCAACAGCAGCGGCAGCAGCGGCAGCAGCAACAGCAGCAAGACACAACAACGGGAGCAATACTCTGTGCGCTTCTTGACGGTGTCCAATCGGGTTCCTACATCAACAGCAGTCACCCCCACTGCTGCATACAATATGCACGAGTACCATGTGCTCTCTACCTGGTTTTCGTGACAAGCTCTGAGAGGTACCATGCTACTACAAACATACTCGAGGGTGCGCTGGCCTACTTCCCCCTGGCGGGGCTCTGCATCGTACAGCACTACAAGTCGGGAATAACAGACATGTCGCAGTCAGCCCTATCTTTTAATAATATCCGTGCTTGGGTCGCAATATTCGGGGCGGGGGTGTCCGGATGTCGTCCCCGACACGACCCTCCAGCCCGTACGTAACATAAGTAGATGCGCGGTTTCAAAACATTCTTAGCCCCGCCCGAGCGGTCTAGTATACTCCTTCTCCGTTATTCTTCTAGAGGGATTATTGTATGCATGGTCCAAATTACGGAAATATTTACCCGTTATGTAGAAAAGACGCGCCCCGATCGGAGGGATGAGTTGAAGTCTCTGCAGCAGAAGCGAATGAGTGAGGAAAACCTCCTGGATACGGACGTACTTATGGCAAGTCTGCTGAAGGCTGCCTACAGCAATGCTGTACATGTATACTGAGAGAGATCGCCAGTGATACGCATAGCTCTGTGCAATAACTAAACAGAGGTTAGCCGAATGTCACAACGACACTCGTCGTCCTTCATCTTCATGATCATCACGGCAGATTAACCATGGTTGTTTGCGTGGAAACGTTGCGCAGACGGTGCACGCCTTCACACCACCGAAGGTGACTTGGCACGAGATACCACTCCTCCTCGACCGATTTTCAAAGCTCGATTGCTCCACGACGAAGAGGGCGCATACAAAAAAGTGCGTTTTCGAAAAGCCTTCGACGACACGACGCCGTTTTTGGTTCTGCCAGTTTTTCGGCCGGGGAAAAATCGGGCTGTATTAACCCTTTTGGGTTTACAGGCGTCCTGACAGATCATTAATTGATTTCTTCTACATGCTGATGTTGTGGCATGCCATGGAGTTGCCGCCCTGTATCCCTCCACGCCAGGTGTTGGCAAGTCAATAGGTAGGTGTGCTTTTTGTTATTCGCATCGACCCCGCGCTACCCGGTGGCCAATGAAAAGACGTTAGTGCCAGCGGGAAATATCAAGGTCCTTGGAACGGCCAAAATTATCAGAAAGATGCACATGCTCTAAATTTGAATAATACCACCATGAATCGCTCCCCATATCCTTTCACAGAGACACACATCAATAGCTCCACATATACATGCCCTCGCCCGAATCTAGGAAGCCACCAAAGCAAAGACAGGAGGACAGCGAAAAGAGGCACTTCAAGCCCAACCAGGCCAGGATATGTTCGTGGTATGCTGCATATCCTCCAAATTCTAAAATTGTACACTCCCAAGATCCAGCAAAGTCATCATGTCAGCGGCTATTCTACACAGCAGCAGCCAGCGGTATAGGCGTGTCCAACATTTACAGCAGAGTAGGTAATAACACATACACTATCAGCATAGCCCCACACATACCCTCGCCCGAACCTAGAGAGCCACTGATGCCAAGGTAGGTGTGTGCTGGAGTATGCTTGCGCGCGTGTGGGAATTGTGGGAAAATCACAGGAGCTGTAGTGAGCCGGCAGGGCTCACATTGGGGAGGGGACAGAGGAGTACAGAAGTACAAGCACCAACTATGGGTCTACAAGCCCTCGCACTGATCATTTTCACTGATCATTTGAATATACTGAAAATAGAGTAGTAGTAGTACTCAGGCGGTAGTAGTAGTAGTCAGGCGGCTTGACGACTGATCTTATCGAGGTCTACAAGCCTAAACTGCGCTACTGGCCGCACCGCGACCACACATCAACCCTCCTATGACCCTGTCTGTGTCCACCGTCCTGTCGCGGGCAGCCCTCATGGCCTATGGGTGGAGACAGCTGTTGCGGCTTCAGAAGTACACTCGTCTTCTCTCTGCTACTTCTGTCTCTCCCCGCACTCTCTCCTCCCTTTTTATTTTTTTGCCCCTCCCAAAAAGAGGAGGTAGGCTAGACCCGAAGGGATTAATCCGTCTAGGGGATGTGGTATCTTCAGTCACCAGCTGTAAGCCTCGGGCGGGTAGACATTGCTGGTGTGGCCCTCACCGATGTGTTATCTATAGTATCAGCCTAGGTGTACGTCGCATAAGATACCATACCCCCTCGACTGATCTTCAAAGAACGACCGACTACAGTAACCCCCCACGAAGAGAACGCGAATGGAATGCTTGTTTTCGGAAAGACTTCGCATGGAGACGCTATTTAGTCCCGACGACCGACGTATTTTTTGGGCAACGCTCCACGCAGCAGAAATCTGGCATGTTGAGAATCGGTCCAGGGGGGTGTGTGGTATGTGATGCAACCTCCGGCGGAATGGATACAAACCGAAATGATAAGGTCAGCAGCGGAGGACGCAAAGACCCTCCGCCGACCGACTGGTGGTCACCTTATGCCTGCGCTGAACTCACTCTCTCCTCCCTCGCACCATCGTCAGCAAACACAGGCAGGTGTGAGGGTGATCCAAAGGCCGATCGCGCAGGCGACTGATCGCCGTATGCTACATTATAACCATGTGCATATCACGTCCCGAGGACGACTTCAGGACCAATGACGACCTGCACCACTCAACTGCTACGGCAAACTGAACAGAGTACAGGGCGCACTATTGCTGCCGTTGCTTGCTAAGAAGAGCTGTTCGGCGCTGCCCTGGTTGTGATCGTGTAGCTCCAGCTTTGCCACACCGACGATACGAAACCGCCATGATGGACGAGACACGGCCAATTTTCGGATGGGTGCTACAAGCCCCCCGCCCCCAGAGAAGAGGAGGCTTCGCCTCCAGCCCAATATGTCTCGAAAGATGGGTCAAGTCTCGCGGCGGATTTCGGGTGCGAGTATGTGGGATTTGAAAACACGCCATACAAGTATAGCATCATGGCAGAGAGGGCATGTGATGAAGATGTTACACCCACGTTCCACGAATTCACGTTGTAAAATAAAAAAAAAGCATCGCCAGGAGAGGCAGGTTGGTTCACCTTGAAGGCCGCATTTCCAGCCGCCTTCTCCTGTGCAGCCTTGTCTTGCTGTTCAGTTGCCATAGCATCCACCTGCAGTTCTGCCTATGGTCTTTTGGGTTGTCTGGACGCCGTTGGATGCCCTCTGCACGCTGGCCGGTAGCTGCGGCGGTGAGGTCGAAGAAGGTCTATTGCTTTTCTGGAGGCGTTCTCGTTCGGCAAATCTTGTAACGGCCAAATGCCACCCCGACTTCCTGTTGGCAATGCCTTCTCTCTCTCTCTCTCTCTCTCTCTCTCTCTCTCTCTCTCTCTCTCTCTTTCCGCCGACTGCTGCGTCGATCGCGACACCGGGTTGCGGATGGAGTTCATGAAGGGGAAAGTACCACCTGCAGTTGCATCTAAGCATGACGCAGCTTGTGTATGCCTCATGACATCATCCGCTTTGACAGCTGTTGCGTAGATCGACTTCATGACACTTGCAGCTCTGTTTGGAAGACGGAGGACGGCCATCGCTGAGGCACACACGGGACAGCACACAGCATCCGAACACGTTACAAAAGTGGGAAGCATCCTCCTGCCATCTATCCCTGAGAAGTTCCTGGTTTTTGGGGCGTGTGGAGAGAAGGTAAGGAAAGACGAAGGCTGCAGGATGATCGCATCAAGATGATGACCATTTATTAATCTTTCCGTTCGTGGTGGTCTGCCAAGCACGCGGGCAGCAGACAGCAGTTGTTCTCATGCAGGGATCGTCAGCACCGTGTAATCGAATGGTTCTGAACTCTGAACCACATGCAAAAATGGTCGTTGTTCATGGTATGTGCAAGGTTGGATGGCAACGCCTGGATCTACTCTACACTAAATAGACAACAACGTTCGGGTTTGGGCACACGGGGCGAACCACGTGTGTTTCCGTGAGAGCACGTTGGTACATTCAGGCGTCTGCACAGTTTTTTCTCGCTTATTAAATCCTGGTCTCCGTTGGAAGCGACGCACTGCAATGCTCGGTATTAGTAAACTTGATCGACTTCATAAGTCGCGAGGGAAGGGATTGCTGTACCCTCCTCGCGATAAAAATATCTCAGGCAAGAACCGCAGGAGGGGGTCCAACCCCCCCCTCCTGTGTGACCCCGGTTGGGTCGTCTAGCTGTTAGAAGTGGAGGATAGGGGCCAGAGGGGCAGACGACAAAGTCCAATGATGGGAGAAACACAAAAACAAAAACAAATAACAGACTCTTTGTATCACCGATTTCGATGAAGTTCGTCCTACGGTCTACAGTACATACTCCGCTCAGTCATGTTCCGATTGTCTTTCCTAGTTTTGTTGGCCTGTCCCTGCGGGGTTGCCTCTTCTTACTCTATATGAATCTGCTGCTGCGTCCATTGTGCGTATACGCTATCGCTGCAAATACTCCGATATACCATAGAGAGAATGAAAACGCATGGCCCGTCCCGTTTTCCCCTCCCGTCGACGTGGTGCGATGGACGTGCCAACAAACCAGAATGACGGCCATCGCCACGCCTCCTCTGACGGAAACCACAACATCATCACCACCACCACACCAACAATGGAGCTGCCAAGCGGCCATGCCTCCGTTGTCGGAGGTGGTGTCTGGGTGGCACGAAGGTTTGAAAGACCACGACACCTTGGGCGGGGAAAGTGGCGGCGGCGGAGGGAGCAAAGGGAACGGAGACAGCGACATTCCCCCGCACCGTAGAAAGATCGTGCGGACTCGCATCGCGCCAGCCGGTCCTCACCCATACCTCGACCGCTTTGCCAGCGGAATGCACAGGCCATTAGAAGGTGGGCAAAGGGACGGCCACGACCAGTTCGGTCGACTTTCTGTTGGAGCGTATCTGGTCAGTCACTGTGCCCACTCTTGCCTCTGCCTGCCCCCCACCGAGGTATGTATCATGTTAGGCTTGGTTTCGCCTCGTCAATAGTATGGGGTCGGCGTTTGTGCCTACTGAAACCTTTCGTGTGCGAAAACGAGGACGTCGACGTTCATCCGGCAGAAGCCATGTTTTTGCCTTTAAACGTTGAGCTGTTCGGCTAGGATCCGGTCCACACAATGCTTGGCCTAGGGTACTCTTTCTGTGGAAGGCAACCTCGGCTCCCTGTCCTCTTCTGCCTCTGTGAAACTTTCGGTAGGTTGGCAATATCCAACCGTGTAACTGCAATACTGCATGGACACTCATCCGAGTTGTCGGTGAAGCGTGTGCACTGTAGAATGACCCACAACACGCAGCCCACCAGGAACGCTTTCGCCGACACAAGAGTATCTTTGGCCCCGTTTGGTCTTCACCGACCGCGGTATTCGAGCAGCACTACGTAATGATGCCAAAAAAAAGAGCAGTACTATTGATGCCAGCACATGACAAGACGGGACAATAGGAAGCTCCTGGACATTTCTGGAAATGAGGCATCACAAGTGTAGGCCGAAACGAGTGAAATCACGCACAAATGTGTTACTACTTTCGGATCAACCCTTGCGCACGTTCCTGCTGCCCGTACCATACAACCAGGCGACGACGCGAGCTGGCGGAAGGCATCCATCGAGCCGGTCCCGATCCCCGATCTCGGGCACACCGGTATACGCACGAGATTCTCGGCGGGAGCCGGCGACGGCTTCACTCCGAACGGCGCCATGACGGAGAACTTCCGCGCGGGCATCCACGACACGATACGGAACCTTCCCCCGCAAGCCCTCGGCGACGCCCGCGACATGAAGGCGAGAGACTACGCCCGCGCTGTCCGCAAGCACAGGGTAGACCCCTGCGGGGGTTCCTTGATCCACGCGCACATGTCAAGCCTCGAGCTGGCAGGAGCACCGCCGCTTGTGGGAAGAGAAGGGGTGGGGTTGTTGCGGCAGAGTAGCTCCCCAGGGATTTTAAGGAGCAGGTTCAGCCCGCCGTCGTCTCCGCTGTCGACAAGACGGGCTCTAGCCGGATACGGGAGAGGAAGAAGCGGCGGGGGAGGGGGCCGTGATTTCAGCGCGATTCCGGTGGAAAGCCGGCAGGTTGTCTTGCATAGGGAATTGAGCAGCGTTAAGCTTGCTGCGGCGGCCGTGGACGGCGGCAGTGGTGCCTCCGATGACTCCGCCAGGGGCGGCACCGGCTGTAGCAGTGCCGGCGCTACCCGATCGTCACCGGTGGTACAGACGGGAGCGATCGGGGCCTCGATGACGGGGGGGAGATTCAATACGAGGAGTGAGGGTGGGACCCGGGGTAGAGCACTAGGTGGGGCCGAAGATAGTATCGCTGACGATCGACCGCAGGGCAGGCCGACGCCGGATGCCGAGGCCGAACGGTTACGCGGCGGTGGCGTGAACAGCGGAACGCTCCAGAGCAGCCGAAGCATTGGGAACGTCGGGGAGAGTAGAGGTGCCGGCGGCCGGACCGACGACACCGCCGCGAGAAACCTCGGCGGGACTGTGGCGTTCGGGGTCGCTGACGAATCAGCGTGGAGAGCTAACCGACGCGCTACGGGGAAGAGACGAGGCCGGCGCACCGAAACAACCCTCGAGAGGCGAGTACAGCCGGAAGAAGGACTTATCGACGACGGCCGTGACAGTGGCCGCCTCGAGCTTCCGCGTTCGAGTTCACCTTGGAGAACAACGCCAGAAGCAGCAACCGCACCACCAGCGACAAGAAGAACAAGCAGGCCTTCCGCGTGGCGAAGGCAGCAGCCGTCGTCGGTGACGCTGACGAGATCGAAACCGAAGGCACAGTCCGCCAGACACCTCAAGAAGCCCTTTTCGTCGGACAGCCTGCTCTCGTGCCTCCTGGACGTTCGGTTCGGCAACACCCGCGACTTGTCTCCGGAGAAGCCGCCGGGACACAAGTGGGACCTGCGGACCCTGCCCACCGGAATCATCGCCGGCGCCGGCGCGGGAGGGGGTTGGGATGGCCTCGGCGAGCTCGACGAGCTGTTTTGTGGAGGAGGTAGCGGGGAGAGGGGGGGGCTGGGTCTACGCGACGCGCCACGGCATACAGGGCATGGTGGTGTCGGTAACGAGGATAGAGATTTTGCTGTACTAGGTGGTGGTGGGTCGAGCGAAAGTCGGGGGGAAGGAGGTCATGGCACAGATAGACAGGGCAGTGACAGGTGTATTCCAACAAGGTAGATGAGAAGTGGAGCTCTGTGTGCTGTGGAGGGTAGTAGGTTCAGAGCCGGCAGAAGTGCAACGGGGGACCGCAGGGCTCGGGGTGCGCCCGGAGCGCCGCTTCTTATAGCAAACCGGCAATGTTGGCCCTGTGGCACTACATCATGAACGTCCTGGTTGATTGCCGGTTGCGGTAGCGTATGCGTCCAGTCCCCTTACCTTTCGCTGGACGAGGGGCGGCTACTCCAGTTCCGCTGTACATATTTCTGTAGTCTCCCGCGCCCGAGTCAATTGGACCCGCGCACGCGCTAGAAGGTACTGAGGAGCGATCAGAACTGTTGTTATTGTGACGACAACGACAACGTTTCGCAGGAGCAGCAACCCCGCCTTGGCGATGTTCGTTGCATCTAGTTCTTTCATCCCAAACCAAGCTGGCATTGAAAGCAACTCCCCCCTCTCTGCCTTTCTCCCTGCGTATATTTATCTTTCTCTTTCTGGGGCGATCAACCACATCACGAGGAATCAACCACGGGAAGGATATTCAACCACTGCACGCGCTATCTACTCGCTCGGCGACGCTTCCGGGGTGAAACAGTCCTCTCCTGTCTGCAGCACAACGGTCCTGACTTCCTGGCCCAACTCCCACCATGTCGGGGGGGTGGCACCGCCACCGCCACCCCCATCCCGCCGTTGATGACGGCCACCATCACCGTTACCGTCGCGGTCCCCACCAGCCTTGTCGAGCAAGTCTTGCGCCCACGCGATGGCCCGGTCCGCGGAACATTTCTGGGACTCGTCGTGCGGGAAGATAGCGGCCTGGTACTGGGGGCCCCAGTCGTTCCCTTGCCTGCTTGGGGGTCATTAGCGAAATCGGAGAGATTGGCCTCCGGTAGCGTCTGCGCCAAGGGTGATGATGATCCAAGTGTGTGTGCGGGTGTTAATCTGAAAAGCACTGGGTTAAAGTCGCAATACCATGAACAAGTGTCTTCTTGTGGTTTTCCTGTCTAGTTCGATGCGGTGCCATCAACTGCTGATGATTTCGTTTTCCTGTGCAGAGTTCGCCCAGAGCCGAAAGCGCTTCCGACGTAAAACTGTAGCCGAAAATTACCTTGCTTACAGAGCTTCCTAGAGTTTCCTCGTTAACATCACAGCAGTAGTCCCAGGGATCCCAGTCACAGTCTACACACCAAAACAAACTAAAATTGTCCCCAGACAACCTTCGCCCAAGCCAGCGGAATCGATTCCAACCGGTTACCACCCTCGACACACTGTTGCCTCACCGCGGCCAGCCCTAACTTCAAGCTGTCGAGTACGCGTGATTCGACTTACTTTTGCGATTTTTCCCAGAAATTTCACCCGTTGCTAGGCTGCCACGGAACGAAGGTCCGCTATTTACGGAAGGTCGAATATCACCCATGATATATTTTCTACTCCTACACGTTTCTCGAAGGACGAGCCTGTTCCGCCTCCAGCAAAATTAAGCCCCCTGTCACCGTCCCAGTTTTGAAGAGGGTAATCGTACCGCCGCTAGAGTACGCCAGAGAAGTATGGGAAGGAAATAAGAACGTAGTGAAAGAACTCGAGGAGGCGCAGATGAAAGCAGCGAAAATCATCCTAGGATGCTCCAAGCGCACAAGTAATGCAGCCGTCAGGGCAGAATTTGGGATCCAATCCCTACGGTCGGGAAGAGACGCGAGGAAGCTGACATGGCAGTATCGCATGTGCGGGATGGGAGAGGAGAGGTTGCCGAGATTTGTATGGGAGGCGAAGTGGGCAAACAAAAAACGGGGTGGACAACCCACGGAATGGGTCAAGGTTGTAGAGGACGTATGGAAGGGGCTCGACATTGACGAAGGTGAAACGCTGGAAACGGAGGGTCTACAGAGGTTCAAGGAGAAGATATCTGTTGCTTGTGCCGAGAGAGAAGAACATAATCTAAGGAAAGAATCCAAGGATAAGGAGGGTCTAGAGGTGAACGGAATGTTGAAGGAAGGAATAGGGCTCAAGGTGTACCTCCATGGACCAATGGATGGAGGAACAAAGCTTAAGGTCAAGTTCAGGACCGGGGACATAAGGCCTTCGAGAACGTCGACGAAGACATAGGACGGTAGACGCGTTCAAATGTGATTGCGGCTTCGAATGCGAAGACCGTGTTCATGTAGTCGCGGAATGTCAGTTGTTCAAGAAGGAGAGGGAAGTGTACGTGACTGAGCTGGGAAAAATAGATAGGACGTACAGGAAGATGTTTGAGGCATGGAATAGAGAGGAAAGGACGGTAGCTGTAGTGGGNCTGTCACCATCCCGCCACACAGTAGACGCGACCACCAACACCACCACCAGTATGATACTTGTAAGGCGACAGCAACACAACGGCGACGTCAACAGCATCATCGTCAGCAGCAGCGACAATAATGTCAACCGCAGCTTTTCCCACCACCCAAATCAACAACAACAGCAGCAACGACAACAACCGCAACAAAATCGACAACAAGAGCAACACGATGACAACAAACAACAACAAATATACATCAACGACAACACTTGTCAAGGTCCTCACCTGTCGCCCGTGCTGGGGTCATGAAAATCGAAGAAACACCGGACCAAGTCCGAATACGGCACGACGGCGGGATCGAAAGCAACTCGAACTGCCTCTATTCGTCCTGAGTCGCCCCGCCGGACGGAATCGAAAACAAAAACAAAAGAGGCAGACGACAGAAAGCACCAAGCCCTTGTTGAGAAAAAGGATGAAGCATATTTACGGTGTCAGGAGTATTTTCGGGCCTGGTCGGCGCCTGCGGCGCGAAACGCTCGGCTAGATTTGGCTAGGGATTGCACGGAAACAGTACAAAGATTGTGTAGAGCCCAAAAAAAAATTACCCCCACCTAGGCATGCTATTGCTGCAGGACGGCGGACGAAACAATCGCAATATCATGCTTTTTTTTTTTTGTTGTTCTCCCATCATTGGACTCTGTCGTCTGCCCCTCTGGCCCCTATCCTTCACTTCTACCAGCTAGATGACCCAACCGGGTTCACATAGGAGGGGGGGGTTGGACCCCCTCCTGCGGTTCATGTGTAACAGTGCGATTTGTATGGAGCTGTTAGAGCACGTCATCGCCCGAAGACGTACAGGAATCGCGAGGGTCATGCACGGTTAATGAGTACGCACGCCTGTATGCATATCACACACCATGGTAGAGGGTGAAACTATACATAGGTCACGAGGAAAGTTCCCGCCCATCTCTGGGCGAGGGCCCAGAAAAAAAAGCCAAAACGATATTCGTTGGGAAGACAGGAGAGCGAGAGGGTGGGAGGGGGGGTGTACTCATAGTCGTGCATGCTGTAGTCGTTAGACCATTGACCTCGCATCCCTACGAAGCCGAAACGGAGCACGCCGGGTTCTTACCGAACCAGGCTCTCACATCACCAAGCGCGAAGCACCGTTAGGTATTTGGCGAGTCGCATGAAGGGTGCGCTGCATCCTGCGAAGGGTGTTCGGCATCTTGTGCTTACTTCCTTGCGTACGGATGACAGGTTCGTATGACTTACATAATTTTCTGGTGCTTTCACTTCCATAGGCAGTTGAAAGCACTGTGTAACTGCCTCGAGAGTGCTTGACCAATTGAACACAACGTGGTGCGATTATCCCCTTTGCGCGGAGTGAGGGTTACCGCAAAAAAAAAAGAAAAAAAAAAGAAGGCGGTAACCTGGTTGTCCAGCTCACAGTGTATACACTGTAAAACTGCCTAGGGTGCTTGGCCAATTTACCACACCGTGGTGCGATCATCTCCTTTGCGCGGAGTGAGGGTTCGAGAGAGGAGGAGCTTATTGATCCTGATATTTTGTAGCCGCCTTAAAATGAAGCTCTGTCGTCGCACGTGCTTGGACGCCGTTTAGGAATCAAAAGGGGGCGTGTGGGAGACCCTCACCGCAGTAACCGCAGGAGACCTCGTGGACACCGGGGACAGCCAAGAAATCGTCCCGCACGTGCCAGAAGCACCCCCCGCCAAAGGTAGCGACTTCGAGCTCCAAACCTGCAACGTTGTTGAAGAACATGGGGTTTTGTGTCACTTGCAGGCCAGAGAACGAGAGAGAGAATATAACACACAGAGACACACACACACGCAGAGGAGAGAGAGGCAGAGAAAGAGGGGAAGGAGCTTGGAGTAACGGACGTACCGAATTGAGTGGAGCAGAGACAAGGAAAACGCGCTCTGAGCTCATTTCGTTCTCAATGGTCCTCTTCGTGGGCTCATCTAAGACTCATCGCTATCCCGACACCTGCTATGAACTGCTGTGCGCCACCTCTCAAGACTGCGCCGAAGCCGGTGCCGGTGCCGAGGCCTTCCAACGCCGAGGCCGCCGGGCGGTGAATCGGCCGGTACTCCCTCGGGAGCGGGGAGTCCATCGGAACGAACGTCAGCGCCGAGCGGTTGATGCAGAACCTGATGTTTTCAATACGCGTCACGTGGACGAACCGCACGTCGTCAAGAGGAACCACACGTCACGAGGAGGAACAAGAAGTCACGAAAAGGAACCACACGTCATGAGGAGGAACAAGAAGTCACGAACGGGAACAGCAGGTCATGAAGATAAACCACACATCACGAAGAGGAACCACAAGTCACGAAAAGGAGCCACAGATCACGAAGACAAATGGCGAAGAGAATCGCCAGTCACAAAAGGCATGAAAAACACGAAAAAGAAAAGAAAAAAAGATGATGAAAGAGCTGCTTTGAAGCCTTTGGGGCCGGAACAAACAACGTTGAATGGAGGAACGACGGGCACAAGCCCCTTAGCGACAACAAAAAAAGTTGAAGAACAAGCAGTTGCATTTCTGTGTGTCTACCTTTTGCCATTGGGAGGAGGCCCATCGTCAAACAAATGGCCAAGGTGAGCCCCACTCCTGGCGCAAAGGACCTCCGTCCGCCTCAGCGGCCCGTTCTCTTCTCGGAAGACCTGAGGGCACACCAGTTAATGCATCGCCATTTGTTTTTGGTCGACCGCATCAGGCTGTGCTGCACCTCGAAGTCCCGACAACTCAGACGTGAAGCGAGAAATGTAGCTCCTATTCTCATTCTACTGGGCTCCCTCCTCGTTTTCGCAAGGACTAGCACTCGTGCGGTAGATCCTGGAGAAACACATGGAAGTCCAGCGTCGAACATCGCTGACCTATCCCGCGCGCGCCATCTGTTGCCCCCCTCTTGCCAAGGGTAGGCTTGTCAGGGCGGTTTTGTGTGCCCGTGCCGCAGGCACACACTTCACACGCTGTCTCGGGAACACACAGCGCACAGAAGAGGAGGGGCTTGTGCGACATGGAAGTAACATATCCGCGCTGCTGCTGCCGCTGTCCCTCTAATGCACCGCACAGCAGCAGCTCTCACCACGTGTTCGGGATGCACCGGGCGGGAAAACCCCGGCCAGGCGTTGTCTCGCCGCCCCCTCTTTCCCCCCTCCATCGCGCTCGCCGGCGGCAGCAGCTCATCCTCCGACAGGAACAAGGGCAAGCCCCCCAACGCGCACGCGAACACCCCCGGCTCGCGAACTTCCTGGTCTGCTTCTTCTGTGCCATCATCGCCGCTGGCGGTGGCGCGGTCGCCTGGTGCCGGCGAACCGGGCGCGTCTGTGCCCCCCTCGAGCAGAACGTGGACCTGAACGTTGGAGTCCCACATGCACCACAAGTAGCGGCAGGGATAGGGGGGTGGGGTGGCACTGGGTAAGGACAAGCCTACCGGATACGCCTGCTGTCGTCGTCCATTTGGAGGGGGAAGGAAGTCGAAACTCGCTGGCCCACGCTGCGTTCTTCAGTACGGGTGGGTCAGCGGATTGTCAACACCCTCGTGTTGACGAAAGAGGACAGGG